CAGAGGTCTTGTTCCCTCACTCCCCACATTACTAGCCTTAGCACAACGCTTTGGCTCATGAGTGCACATGCGTGCATTAACACTGAGTGATCACCACATTGTCCTTTTTATTGGCTGGGCCATGCACAATGCAAAAGAGTCTAGTGTTTTGTTTTGTTTTGAATAATACTGGGGATTGAACATAAGACTTTTGTACTGAGATAGGATCTTGCTAAGTCTCTAAGTTGCCCGAGCTGGGCTCAAACTTGCCATCCTCCTTCTTTAGCTTCCCAGAGTTCTGGGATTACAGGTGTGTACCACTGTGCCTCAAAAAAAAGTCCGTGTTCTGCCTGTAATCCCAGGACTAGCGAGGCTGAGATTGTTTCAAGTTTGAGACCAGCCTGGGCTACAAAGTAAGCAAAAGGCCAGCCTGAACCGCATAGCAAGACCTTGTCTCAAAAGACAGAGAGAGAGAGACAGACAGACAGACAGACAGACAGACAGACACACAATCCATTTTCCATGTGCAAAATTCAGAAGGAACAAGGACCAGTGGCTGAGCGCAGATGTTATAACCCTGCCACCACTGTAAGAAGCTAGATTTGCTTAAAGCCTCTAGTCTCTAGTTGCTCAAATTTGGGGGAGCCCCAAAATGTATTTGGCTAAATGTGGGGTTGCAATATCACAAAGGTAGTAAAGTGACCACAGGAAACCTGCTTATCTAATCATGAGCCTAAGGAGCCTAATGTCCATCCCTGTCCTTTGTGGAACTAGCTGTGGTCACTGACTGTACCCTAATATCACTAGGGACAACTTTGGACCCTAGGACTGACTGGTATTTCCTGAACTGTGACAGCTGTCTCTCAGCTAGCAGTCTGTCTGTATCATTTTAATCTACAGGAACTAGACAAGAATATGGGGCCGATTTTCCCAGTTCTGTCCCTGGCCTGGCCCCATATCCCTGCAGAATATGACTGATGCAGACTCTGTTTGAGAATGAGGGTTGGGCTGAGAACAGGAGCTGATGGCTTGTCTTATTTTTATCAAATTCTGTTATCATGGATTTTTTAAAATCCATTTTATTTCAAAGAGAAAAAATTTCAAAGCACATCAATCAAGGGGCAACAATGGTACATACATTGCATATTGTCATCCCCAATCATTCACCCAGTGGCTCAGACTTAATAACAGAACAAACTTGAGTTACCTGAAGATTTGTGGTGGTTCTGTAACCTTGGGGGAGGAAGTCAGAGGCAGCAGCTTTATCTATACCTGTTCCCTGTGGTGAGCCAAACTCTGTATCCTCATCCCAGAGCAGTCAGGCTAATTATTATTATAATTAATTAATTTTTGACTTTTTGAGGCAGGGTCTTGCTGCACAGTTCAGGCTGGCTTTGAGCTCACATTATAGCCCAGGCTGGTCTTGAACTTGCAATGATTCTCCTGTCTCAGCCTCCCAACTGCTTATCATGGGGTTTTATTCTGTCTTATGGAGTTGTTGTGCAGAGCAAATGAGAGAAGGGCATGAATATGTTTTTTAGCATACAGATTAGTACTTTGCTATAAAGGATTACTATATTGGAGGTTGTGTCTCACATGGGATTCATGTTTCCCTGGGTGAGAAATCGTGAATCTGTTGAGCTTCCACCTGCCCAGCACAGTCAGGCTTTGAAGATATAAGTCCAATTTCTGTAGGGGCTGCATGGACCATCCCAGTGCACTCCATTAGAAGCCCTGTGTTTATAAGTGCCTGTGGCAACTACATGCTGGCTCCAACACAGGTTTCTCTGTCTCAGCCTAGTGGATATGGTGACCAGGTCATGCTTTGATATGGAGGCTATCCTGTACATTCTAGAAGGTCTAGTTGCATCCCCAGCTCCCACATACTGTATTCTAATAGCACTCCTCTCCTCAAGGCGATGTCAAAAATGTCTCTGATCATTGTCACATGTCCCCTTGTAAGGAGCAAAATCACCCCAGTTCAGACCATTGCTTTAATAAAATAAACTATGATTTGTTAACCTTTTGATAGATGTCAAAGTACAACTCAGAGTAGTTAAGGAGCTCACTAAAGGCTGTATCATTGATGCCTCTTCCAAGGGGTATGGGTATACTCTGCCCCCACACATGGCGGTCACCCAGGCCCTGGCATACTTAGTCATTCATAAAATATTTATGCCAGGCAATGTTCTAGTTGTCCAATAAATATTACTGATGATTGGAATGGGGTGACACAGAGAGCTGTAAAAAGCTGTTGCATTAGTTTCCTATTGATGCTTTAATAACCTTCTATAAACATAGTGACTCTTCTAACATTTCTGAATGTCTGAAATCCCAAATCATCTTCACCAGTCTAAGATCAAAGTGTTGTCAGGCTTTATCTAGCATCTGGTAGCCATGTATTTCCTGGCCCCCTCCTCCCCTTCAGAGCCCAATAGCATCTTCTCTCCTCTAAAACTTCTGTTTCTATCCTTCCATCTTTATCTAACACTGATCCTTTGGACTCTCTCATAAGGACCCTTATGTGTACACAGGGCTCCCTAGTAATCTGGAATAATCTTCCATCTCCATATCCTTAATTTAATTCTCATTTGCAAAGGCCTTTTGCTATGTAAGGTACTAAATCATGGGTCTCAGAAATTAGATTGGGAACATTTTGGGAGTCCAGTTATTCCATGTACTACAACTCTCTTTCCAAACCCCAAATATTCATATCCATCCTATCTGTCAAAAACATTCAACCCATCCTAAGGTTCCCAGAGTCCCAGTCCATTATGATTTCAAGTCCAAAATGTCATCTAAATCTCATCAGCTCAAAACTCCCAAATCTCATCATCTAAATCAGCTAAATCAAGTGTGAGTGAGACTACGTGTGTATTCATCTTGGAGCAACATTTCTCTCCATATGAGAACCTGTGAACCTGGAAAACAAGTTACCTGCTCCCATGTACTGTGGTGAGTCAGGTATAGGATGATGGTTATAGATAGGGACTGGTTGGGAAGAGAGAACGAAAGGGAAATAAAAGGATTATCAAACCTAAGTAATTTCAAAACCCAATTGGGCCAGCTCCATTGGGTTCAAAACTTGGGAATAATTCTCTGTGGTTCTGGCTCCACTCTCTCAAACCTGCAGCGCCACCCCTGGGATCATCTTTCCTTTTCCAGGAGGGGCAGCAGGTGTTGGTAGAGGCGTACTTCATCTGCCTGTTTCCTCCTTGTTGGATTTGAGGAGTCTGACAGCCTTCTTTCATTCTGTCCTTTCATTCTCCCACTCAGCCCAAGATGACAGTGTTCTCTAGTTTGACATTCTCAAAAACCACACGGCACTCCTATATATGTTTCTAGGATTTGCCCCCTTAGACAAGTGGCTCCTATGTGGATCTTTCCTGGATAATCCGTCTCTATTCCTGGCTTCTGCTGAAATGCCTAAGGGAATCCATGAGTCACAGGTCTAATCCTCGCAAAGCCTGCTATGTGCCTAAATGCTCTTGAACTTCAGATCTTTCTGAGGTGCTAGCAAAAAGTTACCCAGCTACAGCCTGGTTTTCTCTCCAGAGCACTCTTCCCTGACAGCAAATCTCCTAATTTTAGCATCCTTTGCAATCTGGATAGGCAGAGAACTTGCCAAATCAAAGCCTGGTTCCTTCTTATTCACAGTTCTTCCCTCCCGCATTTCACTGAGAGCAGCAAGAAGAAAGCAAACTGTGTCTTCAACACTTCAGTTGGAAATCTCTGGAGCTAAATCTCCAAGTGCATCATTTACAGGTTTTCCTTACCATCCAACTCTAGGACACGATTCAGCTAAGACTGTTCCTGCATCATGCCATTTTGCTTCTCCAGTTTCCAGTTCCATGGGCTTCCTCTCCTGAGCCCTTGCCAGCAGCACCTTTAATGTCTATATTTCTATCATTGGTTTGTGTTGGATGACTTCAAAATGATGAAAATTTTCCATATAGTGATCCTCACTTTTCCTGAGTCCTCAGGGGTTCACAGGGACCTAGGATTGGTATGTGGAGGTCTTTGAGGAGCCACTATCCAGCCTACAATAACTATTATGTTTATTGATCAATCATCAAACTGTTATTGATTACTTTTTATTTTCTTAGAATTATCTTGGATACTCTGAGTGCTGCAGGGGCAGCATAACAAAGCTGACCAAAATTACTGATTTGGCCAGATAATTCAGTGTATATTTTCAGTTCTAGTGCAAATGTTGAAGGGTCCCCTTTTCCCTTTAGAAGTGCCCTGGTTTGAATGATATGTTTTCCGGTCACTAAATATAGGTCTTGATGCTTAGTCGTAGAGACAAAATAAATGTACAAAAAATTACCAGGCTGTTGTAGTTAAGTGTTGACTATAGATCTTAATGCTCAGCTTACCATCTCAGGAAGACAAAAGAAACATGCAAAAAAAATTACTAGGCACTTATTGTTAAGTGCTAAATGTTATGACATTTAGATGCTATTAAGCATCTGCAATATGTGGACAGCCTTCAGCAAGTCTCTGCTAGATGTGTTATATCTGGAATTTCAGGATCGTTGGGGTATTGCGTTTACAGTGTGGTCCCTGGACCTGCAGCTTCATAGAAATGTGCATTCCCATCGTAGACCCAGTGAATCAGAAAATGTGGCACTTTGACTCCACAATCTGCTTTGGCCTCTTCATCTCTTACACAATTATGCATACACACACACACACACACACACACACACACACACACGCACACACACACGCATGCGCGCACATACACACACAATTTCTGCAGCCTCAGGGATGCAAACATCACAATTACTACTGTAAATACTTCCCTATCTATAGCATTGCTTATTTTTCCTGTCCCTTTTTTCCCCTCATCTTCAAAATGATGACAAGTCATGGGTTGAGATGTTATGATTAAATGCTAGTTTGGTGAGAATTTAGTTCTTTGGTTCAAATGATCTATTTTTAAATGTGTTTTTTATTTCCTTTTTTTCTAAGAGTGCCCTATCTTATTTTTCATCCCTTTCCTTGGCTGTTGGCAGGAGCTGAGAAAAAGCCTAGAATTTAGCGTAAATCTACAAAGGAAACAAAAGGATTGTTCTAGTGATGAATATGACTCTATTGAAGAAGACATCCTCTCTGAACCTGAGCCTGAGGACCAGGAGCTCCTGGGCTGTCCCAAAGATGACCCCTCTCTTTGCACTGGGGACTCAGAGCAGCATCGATTTCCTGAGGACCAGCAGCGAGGACAGCCTGCCTCAGGTCCAGACGCCCTCATGGTGCTGGAATTTAACCAGACCTCCAAAGGTGAGCTCTGTCTTGTGATGCATTTCTTTGCCTTTGGTGTCTCTGGATATATTCACAAGCCTTACACTTCCAGAAGCATCTTGAATTTAGCTTTGAGTATCTGTCTTGCAGGCCAGAGAGCTGTCTATGAAGACTCTGTTGACTGCAAAAGGCAAAATCTCCCTGTGGCTGCACAATGACCCTTAAGTCTCATGTGGTAAATGTGTGGCAGATAGCTGTAGGGGGCTCTCCTGTGCATTGTGGGAAGTTTAGCAGCATTCACCCTGCAGCTGGCTAATGCAAAGTACCTTATACAAAAGGAGCTATTTATTGGCTCAGATAACTAGAAGAACTAGTAGTACTTATTTCTCCTCCTCTCCCTTCTTAGCCACTCCTTTCTTCTCTTTGTGTTTTTATCTCTTCTTCCTTTGCATTATTTCCATTCTTAGGTAGATGCTAACATACAGAGGCACTGTGGCTTTTGTATGAGACATTATTAGCTTTACAACCCTATCAGAAAGCAAATCTTTCTTTTCTAAAAGCTCTCAGACAAAATGCCTAACACCCAAAGTTAAGGAAGGAAAGGTTTATTTAGCTCACAGTTGTGGCTCCAAGGCAGAGTGGCACATGGCAGAAGGCAACTGTATATGGTGGTAAAAACAGCAAAAGACAGCAAGAGCAAAAAGAGAGGAACACAGAGAGAAGACTCTTTCTGTCCTTTACATTGGATGTAGACCATACCTACTTGGGTGTGGCACTCACTCCCATAATCCCAGCATTAGACCGTGAGTCATTCACAAACTCTAGAAGTCTGCTTTCCTGACTGCATGAGGCTCTGGGGGGACATCCAGACACAAACCATAACACAGCACGATAGAGATGGGTAGGGACGAAAAGCTGCTCACCTCATGGCAGCCAGGAGGCAGAACACTAAGAAGGGAGCCTGGTAGATCCACCCTACCAGGTCACACCCCTCTGATCTGTCTCTTCCCACTAGGCCCCGCCTCCTAATGTCACATTGAGTTATAGTGCCCCATGAACCAATCACCTCCATAAGCCCTACCCTGAGCACATGAGGCTTTGGGGAGACACCCACATATCAACTATAACACTGGGTATGCCAGCTGAGAGAAGGCTGTATTTTCTGAACTAGAGTGCATGTCAGGAAAGAGAAATGAGGGACTATTTGAAATGAGGCAGTATATTAGCTTGCTAGGAATGCCATAACAAAGTACCACAGATCAGTGGTTTGCACAACAGAAACTTAATTATATCGCCATTCTAGAGGCTGCAACTCCAAGACTAAGGATCAGTTTCTTCTGAGTCCCTGTCTTTAGCTTGTGCATGGCTGTCTTCTGCCTGTATGCTCACGTGGTCCTACCTGTGTCTGAGTCCTAATCTCTTCTCAGATACCACCCCAGTGACCTCGTTTAGCTTAACTGCCTTTTTAAATATTTTGTCTCCAAGTTCAGGGGGTAGCACTTCAACATATGTGTTTGGGGGATTTAACTAATCCCGTAACTGGCAGTCTTTGGAAAGCTACATCCAAGGTAGATGTCCCCAGATAAGACATTTGCCCCTCTATGTGGTTTGTATCCTCTGACCTCACCCACCTAGATTCCCACAGCAGCATTCTTCACCCTGAATCTGAAAGCTGAAAAGCCACTTACCTCATGGCAGCCAGCAAGCAGAGGGAGAGAGGGAGGGAGGGAGAAAGGAGGGGGAGGAGAGAGAGAGAAAGAGAGAGAGAAAGGAAAGAGCCATGGACAAGACATCGTCTCTGAGGTCACAGCCCCATGACCCAGTCCTTTCAGTGAGCCCCCACCTCCTGTTTCCAACACCTCCAAAATGATGCCATCAGATTATAATTAATCCACTGACAGAGTACAGCCCTTACGATCCAATCACATTCTATAACTTCACCTCTGAACACATGAGGCTTTTGGGGGACATTTTCTAAACCATGACATCTATAAACGACCCTATTTTTTTTTTAGCTGTTATTTAGAGCATTATCCTTCCCACTCTTTCTCTTTCTTTTCTTTCACAATTCTAGAACTGATCTGAGCAAGGATGAAGCCAAGGGTTTGACATGCCAGCTCTAGTTCTTTCCATGCACATTAAAGCATAGAAATGCAGCAAGGGCGAGGCTGAGGCTCAGTGTAGAGCACATGTGAGGCCCTGGAGTCCATCCCCTGGGCCTTCATATGCCAGAAAACATACGAACCATCTGCCACATGCTATTGGAGTCACCCTGTGCTCCCAGGGGCCTAGGTGCCCCCCACCCTTTTGTGGTTAAGACAGAGACTTGCTGTCTAATTAACGCTGGCCTTGAATTCCTCAAACTCACAGCAATCCTCCCACCTCAGCCTGCCAAGTGGTGGGATTATAAATTTGTACCAGCACACCTGGCTCAAGATGCCCTCTTTGGAAATATGGATTTGAGAAGAAATGAAACTCCCACAGCAGGCCCCCTCCCCCCGCACCCCTGTGCACTGCCCAGCTATCAGAGCTTCACCACACACTGGCACATGCCATTCCAGGTCCCGGATGCTCCCACTCTAGTACCTGGAACCCCTCCCAACCCACTTTCTCTATTCAGAAATGCTAAAATTTGAAAACCTATGCGTGTTCTAGACTGTTCCATGCAGGGTGTACCATGGCTCTCAGCAAGCTTGTCTCAATGTCTCTGTTGCTCTCATAGACCCCAACTACCAGAGTACCTGAAACAAGGTCATGCAGTAAACATTTGATGAATAAGTGAATGAACAGTAAACAAATGCCAGAGCCAGCTGCCACCACACTGCTGGTGCTGCACGTCTGACATAAACAATCACTTTCCCATAGGTCATAAGAGGGAGAGGAATTTGCCTACCAAGCGGAAGGACGGCACTGAGGTCTTCATTCCCAGCAAACCTGAGCTGAACCTGCATTCCCAGCCACCTGCCACATTCCCAGACCAGGAGAGGGTGTGCTCCAGTAAGAGTTGGGGCCCCTGGCTGGGAGCAGGGTTGGGGCTGGGGCCCGTGCTCTCAGTGCATGTGGTGTAACAATGGGAGGCCTTCTTTTGACACTCTCCTTGCTAGGGCCGAGCTGACCTTTAGCCAGTGTAATAATATGGTTTCTCCAAAGAAGCAACCGAAAGGGCTGTGTCTACATCTAAAGAGACTGTAGTAAGGAAATTGCTTGTGTCCTTATGGAGGCTGGAAGTGCAGTCTGCCAGCTGGGGTAGCAGGTGGGAGACCAAAAGAAGTCCGACTGAAGGGCAGAACAGGGCGGCCCCCACACATTTTCTCATTAACCTCTACCAAATCCTGTGCTTGGGAAGATTGGACTCACACAAGATAAAACATGTTAGCTAATAGTATAAAAAGTATGGCTTTAGAGCCAGGCATGGTAGTATATGTCTGTAATCCTAGCTACTCAGTAGCTAAGACAGGAGAATCAAGTATTAGAGGCAAGCCTGGGCAAGAAGACTTAACAAGACCATCTCAAAAGAGAAAAGGAAAAGAGAAAGAAAAAGCAGCTTTAAGTGAAAAGTATATCATCCTGTGTAACTGAGAAGTCCAAAGACAGAGTGTCCTTCAGGCACAGCTGGATCCAGGCAATTAAAAATATGTCTTCAATCTGCCTTTCTCCCTACTAAGCACCTATCTGAGAATGATGGGCCCCAAAGAAGAAAGGTGAGCTATAGGGTTAAGACAGGAGAGCTGGATCTCAGCAGCAGCAGGAGGCCCTGACTTGTTATTAGATGGTGCTGGTTATGAGTCTGCATAACTCAGGTGGCTCACATCCTCACAGCTAGGATCCGTTCACGAACAAGGCGCCAAGATCTTAAGCTCTGCAGGAAGGCTGAGGCCTCTGACCTGCATCCTATTGCAGCTGGGAGTGGCCTGAGAAAGATGGCCAAGAGATCAAACCTTCCACCATGTGAAACCAGAGTCCAGTAGGGAATTTACAAGGGGTGAGATACAGAGAATGTTTAAATTTTTAAAACTGTATTGCAATAAAAGATACATTGCTGTCAGCTCCCCTCAAAGCATGCCCCTTGTCTCTGAATACACTCACTCCGTCATTCTGCCACTTGCTGAGGCAGTCCTGGAAGTCCTCTTCCTGTGTAACTTTGCAAGGTATGGTCAAAAATTTGGTGCATGCTGCTGCCAAATGGTACCCAGGCTTGTAAAAACATTGCAGTGTGAGTTCATCCACCCTGTTCACCAGATCTGGCAGATTCTGGCTCTTCCCCAATGTCCAAATGATCATGAAAAGTAAATATTTTGAATTGATTGATGACAGTACAACTAAAGAGGACTATCAGGGTAGATAGTGCATGGCTTACATAAAACACCAGTGGTATGATTTGGGGCTCCAGAAGGTCAGTCAGAACTCTCTCAGAAGTAAAGACAGCTTTTCCGGACAGCCTGTATTTATTCCACAGATTTAGGGGGTACAGAAAGAGGAGGCTATGAAAACCCAAAGCCCATGAAGTCGGAACGAAGACAGTAAATTTGCCAATTCAGAGCACTCTTTGCTCTCTAGGATTGGCTGCTGTCTCGCTCTGGAGTAGGGTGTGTCCTCATGCTCAGCTGTGATCATCTTGACTTCAAAGCACTACGCGTATGCACTCTTCCTGCACCTCCAGAGGTCCCTGTGTTCAGCATCTTTAGCCCTGTACTGCTGATCATCAGAGGACTTCCATAACTGCTTTAGAGAGACAAGAATGATGGGATAAATGTGTTCAAAGCCACAGGGAATATTTTGAAGGGTATTAATGACCATGTGTCTTTTGCTATAATACATTTTAAAATTATTTAGATATTCTCCATGTTTTTTGATCATACCACGTAGCACCAGACTTGTTCCAAGGGATTTCTTGGCAAAACCAAGCCTGGAAAGAGGGTTGACTGGAGCTTGGGAAAGGTTGAGGTGGGAGTAAGCACCATGTCCCTGACGTGAACAAGGTTACGCAAGTGTCACATTGGTACGTAGAGATGGTAGCAAAATGATCTACAGGGATCAAGAACAATGCAGAGCAGTGAGGTGGCAGAAAGCTCTGGTGAGTTCCGGCTCTGTCAACTCTGGTCAGACAAGGAACAGGGAGAGAGAGAAGAGATGGGACAAGCTAAAGGACCTGTCAGCTCTGGGAGCGCTAATGTGGTTGAGGATCTTGGGGGTCGGTGACCATGTGTCCTCCAGGACGGGCCCCAGTGGTTGCTGCTCAAGTCTTTAGCCTCAGTTTGCCTTGCTGGTATTGTCTTCCCTCCACATGAAACATTTCAAATGGCATCTTAGAAGTTCCTCTAAAACCAGTCATTAGGAAAATGAGCCCCAGGGTAGCATACCACCATACGCAAGACATCCCGGAGCAGAGCCTCACAGTGGTGACTGTGAACTGACTGGGACTCCTTCCTTCCAGCATGTTCCAGCATCATAGTTTTTCCATATTTAGGTCATTAAGAGCAGTCCATTAAAATTTCTGAGCTGGCTCCCAAGCTGCATTCAGCAGTGTAGATGTGACCTGACATTTCATCCAGCAGCGTATGCAGTGGGACCTGTAGTTACCAACACTATGTACAGAGAGGTTAAGGAATCTGCCCAAGGTCACCCAGCTAGTGTGTGGTGAAGCCAGTGTCGGAGACCTTGGTTGTAGAATCTCTGCTCTTAACTCCTCCTGTTTATGGCCCGTCATGTGCTGACTTAACTATTTTTTGCATAATACATACCCATAGCACCCTAGTCTTGATAGAAACATGCCTAAAATCCATCTTTCAATCACTTGTTATATTTTTTTCTAGTTCCATTAATACAAATGTATTTCTATTAATATTTTTGAAAGATAAACCGTATGTCTCTTGGATGCTAAAATCATCTTGGATGCTAGGTTCATTTCCAGGGCTGAGTAAAGCACCATGATCCAAGTATCTTATTATCTTACAAACTTACTGCTTCACAGTTCTTGAGGCAAGAGGTTCAAGGCTGCAGTCTTGGCAGGCCAGCCTCTGCAGGTCCGAGGGAGGATCTGTCCCTGAAGTAGTTCGTTGTCTGTGGCAACACTTTATAAAGTTTTATAAAGATGTCAGTTCATACTGCATTAAGACTCTCCTTCACGACCTTATCTTAACATGAGGCCTCATTTCCAAGTAAGGCCACAGCCACAAGCACCAGGGATTAAGATTTCTTTTTAGGGAACAGACTTAATCTAAAACATACAGCTTCATGTACAGGATTTGGAGAAATAGAGATTAATTAATTAATTTGTAATATTTTTTTCTCCAAATAAGTTCTGAAAACTAACAAATTACAGATAGCATGTAGAGCCAGATTTTAAAACATGTGAGGGTAGCAGGGCATGGTGACTGCATACCTGTAATCCCAGCATTCTGGGAGGCTGATGCGGGAGGACCCCAAGTTTGAATTTGAATCCAGCCAGGGGCAATTTTTCAAGGCTGTGTCTTAGGAAAAAAGAGGGAAGGGCTAGGGATGTAGCTCACTACAGAGGTCCTGAATTGAATCCCTAGTATGGCAAAAAACATAGAGACAAACAACAAAATACCTAGTCACAGTTGTAACCATAAGCTTCTACATATATAAGAAAATGTATGTCACTGACCCAGAAATAAAATTCAGATTATCAATTCTTCTGAGTATTGGTTCTTAGAGTAACTTGTCCCAGTTAGGACTGTTTAAAAAGGACGCAGTTCATTTCAAAGAGATTTGGGTCTCATCATCCCCTATAAATGTACTTGCCCCAGGGAAAGTTGCAAACTCGGCACTGTCGCTGCCCTGACGTTGAGATGTAATACAGGGAAGCCACATATCACCCAGAGGCAGCAGAAAATGCCATGGTCTAGCTACCCTTGGGTTCCTTATTCTGACAGTTAAGTGCAGCGTAGATGGCTTTGTACAGACAATGCTGTAAAGTGTGTTATCTTATAAGACAGGGGAACCTGTCCCTCCTCCACTGTGGGAAAATTGCAGGTTCTGACTGAGCCCAGGATGAAACATCAGCCTTGGGTAGGGTCTGGGTTGTAGAGGAAATGTGTACTGTTACACAAAGGCATTGTGCCGTGGGGTGGATGTTCACACTCCTGGAGGCACTGAGACCCGGGGCATCCTGGGAAGGCAGCAGTACCTCAAGCCAGCTCACCCTGCTCTGGGAACAAGTGAGAAAGGGCTGCTGTCGTGCTTTATTCCACGTGGGCTGGGATCTGCATTTGGGGGGTACCTACAAAATTAGGCTTTTTGTTCTTCCTAGTGAACTGAACCTTTTATCATTATGTATAGTCTGTCTTAAAAATATGTGAAAAAATGAAGACAAGTGGAAAAAACGAGTGAGGAAGCAAAATGAATCCAGGGGGAGACAATGAGCGCTTGTAAATACTTTCTGACTTAAAGGCTGCTATGTTAGAGACAGAGCTACTCCGGTTTTTTTCTGCTTAGAGTTTATATGGGATATCTTTTTTCCATCCTTTTACTTTCAAACTTTCTGCATCTTTATATTAAGGTTTGTCTCTTGTAAGCTGCATGTAATTGGGTTTTATTTTTATATTCTAACAATCTGTGTATTTTAATGGGAGCATTTAATCCATTTATGTTTAATGTAATTGTGGATATATTTGGATTTAAGTCTACTATGTTATTTGTTTATTTGTTCTGCCAGTTTGATGTTCCTCTTTCTCTCCTTTCTTGCCTTCGTTTCAACTAATTGCTTTGTATTATTCCTTTTTCCTCCTCTCTATTAGCTTGTTAGCTATACACTTTTATTATTCTTTTAGTCATTACCAGCAATTACAACATGCATTCTTGACTTATTAGAGTCTACTTTAAATTAGCAAATTTAGCACTTCTCATCTGCAGAGGGACCTTACAACTCTGTAACTCCATTTGCTCCCCTCCTGATTTGAATGCTATTACCGTGCATTTCCATTCCCTCTAGGCTCTGAACCTCACTAAACATTACTGTTGTTGTGGTTGTTGTT